CTTATGAGTACACGACATGCTCCTTCTCTTTGTGATAGAAGCTTTAAATGTTAGTAGCCAAGAAGTGCCAGCATTCTAATTGCTGCCTGTAGTTAAGTACATAAAAATATCAGAGGCATAAAATATTTTGGCTTAAAAAAGAAGTAGATGGGTAGAGAAATAAGGTGCAGTTAAGAATTAAGGAGTATAAGGCAGAGGCAAAAGTGACTATTTGGAATACCTGATACTGCCTTTGCTTCAGGTATTGGTAAGGGAAGTTCGGCAGTCACATAAAAAATCTGTTTGTGTTCCCTCACCAGCCGCGTTTGAACTGGGGAGCTTTGATCTCTAAGCTGGTCCTTTTAGCATGAAGATTTTATATTTCCAGATAGCTGTGGTGCTGGTTTCAAAATGCAAAAAGAACAGGAACCTGTCCCAACCTGGAAGCGTTAGCTCCATCCATAGTGCTTCTAGAATGTGGACGTCCTGCATTTACTTGACTGGTCTGCTGTGCGTTTCAGAACTGACATCACAGTACTGTGCTGCCTTTAACTTACCCCAGAGTTAAAATAACGAGGTAAATAAAAACTACCAGAACCTAGTTCTTTTAGAAGAAGTATTCATCCGCATTTTAATTCCAGCTGAATTAATTTTTGTATTTTTGTGAATTAAATCTGCTGCTGACCATTAGAATGTTAAAGAAAAAATTGCCATTGAAGCTTTATGTTTAGTCAAAAATTATACTTTTTTAATCCTGCTAATGTAAAAGGAATAAATTGTCAGTATATATTATACACATCATTATACACATACCCATTGTCTTTGTAAGTAGCAGATATTTCTGACAATTTTCAAGGTTTTTAACAATTATTTTAATTAAATGAAGCCCTTATTGTTGGGATTTAAAAGCATGTAAAGTTCTGTTTTACCAAGCTGCACACACAACTATTTTTAGCATCGATACAAAGTTGCTCTCAAACTGAGTCAGTGTTAGAAGGTTTCAACTGGAAATACTTGGAATGATTCAGGGTGAGACTTTAATTTCTTTCTTTTTTTTTTTTTTTTTTTTGTACGTAAAAGTAAAAAAAATATGCAAAACATTCCATATTTGGATACTTGTAATACCTAAAAAAGTCCTGACAGGTATCAGCCTTGCTCCATATGAAACGTCTGTAAGTCATCTTAGTCCTACTGAGTTCAGCATCATCAATAGGAACAAATTCATGTGGAAATATTAAGCCTTCTCTGTTGTCCTGTCAGCATGAAATCAAATCAGATTTTGTGGTTCTTTATTCTAAAGTCTTTACAATAGATTCATAAATATTTTTATTATTAGAAATTCAACATTTTGTGTTCCTGCAGAGAGCCTTTATGCTTTGTGTTTAAGCTGCATGGGCAGGTTACGTTTTTTGTGTCCAACTGACTTCTGAACTGTTTTCTGTTGCTTTTGATTATTGAATATTTAGTTTAGCCTAGTTCTGCAGGGCACTGAGGAAAAAGAAGGTAACTGTGTAATACAGATATGACTATTCTCCCTCCAATCCTCATCAACACTGTTATTATCAGTTGTATTCTAATACTGTAGAGACATGTAAAACATTTACATTTTTTATTTATAAGAGAAATAAGTAGTTCATAAATTAATTATATATAGATGTAGTACATATCTATAAATCATATTTAAGCATAGATAAATAACACTTTCTAGGGAAGGTAACCATAAACTTTTTTCTTTTGCACAACTGTAGTCTGTATGTGTTGTCACCCTTCAGGCAGCAATTTCTTTGGTTAAAAATGTTTCACTGCACTTCTGTATAAAGTTTGTGTGCAAGGCATGCTGGTGTTTTCTACTAAGCTATTAAATGTCACGGTTGTGTGCACCACTGTCTTTGCTTCTGTCAGACTCCTTTTCACTTCAAATTTTCAGCATAAAATGGTTGCTTTTGAAAGTTACATTCTTTATGATCTATTGCGGTAATCAGCTCTACAATCTAGCTACAAGTTCTTGGGGTAACATTTATGTCAGAATCTGAAGTTGATACTCAGCTCAGGATTAAGATACCTGAATGTAATCGCCTGCCTGTATATGAGGGGATTCAGCTGCACCAACTCAGACATCTAGTGCCTTTTCAGGAGCCCTAAGTTATTCCACATGGCTCTCAGCTACTGTGATAAAGGACTCCAGTCTTTCTTAGGTCCTGTGTAGTGTCTCCTGGCCTCAGCAGAGCTCTTGAGTAAATGGGCAGCCCCAGAAGCCATTAGACACCTGTATTTATGCACTGACTCAAGCCCTACATCCCTCAGATCCCACTACAGCGCATGGAGATCTGGTCAGTACAGTGAAGGCAACTGAGAAATTCAGCTGATCAGCCGCTATGTGTGCATTAAACCTAAACATCCTATGGTATTTCAGATGCTTTAGGTTATCCGAGACATCTGCATGTGCTAGAACATATGTTGTAGACAGATGTACAGAGGGTGCATGTTCTCTAGAAGTGGCAGTTGGAGGTTAGGTATCATATCTGAGAGTACCTGCAGTGACGCTAGGCACTAGTATGTGAGTGACTGAATTGAGCCCTCAACATACTGGCATAGGCACTGTTGACTGTGCTAGAGGTGTAGACACTTTGGTCAGTGTAGATACCTGAATTAGAGCAATGTAGGTCTATGAGCTGAATTCCACCTCAGTGAGGAGCTGGATATTAATTTAACATGATTTTCTTGTTTGGCTATTTGTCTGTGGTAACTCAAGACTTCATTGTCCTCTATAGATGAGAAACTGCTAGTCTATCAGCTGAAGAGTCCCATTCCCATAAACTGACCTCCTCTGCTGTTTGGCCTATAAATCTTACTCAGGATTTTCACTTGTGATCCAAACAATACTCTGTTTTGTACATCATCTGTGCCTGATTAAATCTTCAAACAAGTGTCACTAATTTTAATGAACCAACACCAGAGTACCTAGGACTATGATTGGCAAGTCATGTCTAGAAGCTCTGTGTTGAGTCCTTATTGACTTTCTGCTACCAAAATGTTGCTTCATTTTTATGAAGTTCAAATGCTTGAAGTGTGGGAATCTAATGTTTATGGCAACCTTTCCATTAGAGTACAGCTAGGCAGCATGAAAAGAAGTCAGGGCCAAAGTCAAACTACATAATAACCACAATAACAGTACCTCACAATTCTGCATCATTGAAGGTTTTAAATGTGTTCTGCAAATATTAATTAATGTCACAACAGAGTGAAGTGCATATTGTTAACTTATGCCCATGTCTGTAAGAATGAGTACTGAATAAAAAGGAAGCTATAAATTCTTCCTGGGACCTTGGGAAAATTACTCATGCTGTTAACTTCTACTTTAGCTGGATAGTAGTGCTTCTTCTGTATTCAGTGAGGAGCTGGAAGACTGTGCTAGGTGGGAAGGTATTGCTATCTAAAATGGCAAGTGTAGAGGTGTTTTTACAGACAAAATTAATGTAAATAGGGACTTACTGCACACCTCTTATTTGCATTTATCACAATGTGTGGAATTCATACAGTGCAGATGTCTCCATCTGAGCTTATTGCCCTAGCATTTCTTTACAGTCAGTGGAGGTCTAGTCAGTGTAAAGTGCAATTAATCTCCTTCTAAAGTAGGTGTCTGAATAGATTGGGCTGGGTGCAAAGGATGTATGGGAGCGACTAGTTCAAATGTAGAACTGAATCTCATCCTACCTGTTCCGTGGGCAAAACTGCTATGTTTTTGTCTTTAAAAATATACATTTAACCTTACTGAGCCACAGTTAGAACACCAGATGTAGAAGTGTCTCAGAATAAGTCTGTTCTAAGCATTTACCACAGGTTATCATACCAGAATTTTCATTTAATAAAAAAATACCAAATTGTTTCACCATTTTACACAAACACGAGGCTAGTACCCATTATGTTTGTGTGGGTCATCTGGAGCAGCAAGCAAGGTGATGAACAAGGTTTCACAGTGGAGGACTGAGGAAAATTTTTAGAACTTATTAATTTCTAGGACATCTACTTTCTTCCTTAATGTGATCTCTTGAAACTTTGTTCAGGTTCCCCACACATCTAATGCAATACTAGATGCCCCCGTGTAACCTTGCTTATCTCCAGCTGGCACTTCAGGGAGGTGTGGTCTTCTACAGTTTCTGTATCTCACCTGCCACTGTGCGGGTGACTTGGGTACAGGTACCTGAGTGTCTCAGAATGGCACTGGACATCATATATGGACAGTTGATGAGATTTGCATCAAGATTAAACTCTGTAAATTTACTTGTCTACATGTAAGAGGATGGTAATATGCTAGGTGTTTATGTTTTCGTGGTCAATTGATTGATTCAACTCATTTCATGTAGTAAAACATGCATACTCAGAAGATGGAGGAGAGGGTCATCTGGCTTGCATCTTCCTTACTGCTAAGGCACCTAAACTTGGCATCCACAGAGCGAAGAGTTAGATTTGTCTCCGGAATTATCTCAGACAGCATTGGGCAGCTGCATTTAAGCAGCTGTATTAATTCCTAGATCTCACTTGTGTAGAAGAAGGGCTTTATACCTAGCATATCTGTAGGCACATATGTGTAAAAAACTGTGTCTGGATCTCCTAAACTCAAAGATATCCCCATCTAGAAGAAAATCGTGTTCTAGAGAGTAGTTTGCCTCACTGAGAATTTCAGAGCAAGCACAGATCATCCACACTGGAACTGCACACATTTCCCAACCTGACCTTATTCTCATCCTAATTATCTGTAGTTTCCTTCTGCCCTGTTTCTTTCACAGTCATGTCTGATTTTCCTACTGGGAAAGTACATTAGTCATTTATATGTTGTTTTGTTTTGTTTTGTTTTTATTTTACTTTATTTTTCTCTATAATAAAATGTTTCTTCTACAGAAATAGCTGGATATTGACACTGTACCTCACAAATGAATCCAGGAATTATTTAAGTGGATTTTGACAGCTTTCAAAAGACTTGGAGATTGCTTCATGTTGGAAGAAAGCAGATCTCTGTGGGATCCTATGAGGGATGGTTGTTTTCTAGTAGGGGATGTCTCAGTAATCATCAATACCGCAGAAATCCCCCACTTCCAAACAAACAAGTAAACAATAATATCCCTCCCCCCCCCCCCCCCCCCCCCCCAATAATTGTGAAGTAACTTAAATCACTAAGAAAATCTCCATGTAAGATTTTAGTAAATTTGTAGGTATGGGATCTGTATCACTGTTACTGAAATGAATAGATGGTTTGATGCTGAATTTCTTACAGATTTTTTTTTTAATATTATTCACATGCTGATCACACAATTTACTAGGAGATTCTTTGAATTTCCTTCTGTGTTCAAATGCTAGATGATTTAAATATGAAGAAGAAACAACATGTTGCTATTACACATTAAAGTGGATGAATATTTAAGCCCTATGTTTGCTATAAAACCACAATTGGCGCATTGTTGGATATCCATAGCAGTTGCAAAAGAGTATTAAGTGATTCATGGGGTGTTTTTCCTAAGGAATAAATATTCTAAGTCACTGTGGCCAGTCAAGCCACAGGACTCAGATATCCTGAAACGTGCTCAAGTGCTGTAGCTACAAGGCATGTGTTTAATATCTTATATTTTAAAATCAATCATAAAATTTTAATGCTTGAACTTAGGAAAGTTCAACTGTAAGCTATGTTAATTGGGAAGGGCAAGTCCATTAGTACCAATCTGGATTAAGTGCCAACTCTAGAGCCCTTACCCTTGCTACTGAAAATGCCAGGCAAGCAAAAAGGCCAGAAATGTTATCAGCCTGCCAGCCAGGGACTCCACTGGAAAGGCAAATTATAAACGGTGGGAGTTACAGACAGAATAATGAAAGTCATGTTAAGAAGCTGTGTATATCTAAGCAGAGCGGTGAACAAGCGTGTCCACCTGTACCTACGGCACAGCAGCCTTATATTCAAAATCCCTGTCAGGAGCTGTGTAAATGGCATAGCTAAATGGAGGCGTGGGAAAGCAAACTCTAAGGGAGTATCTACTCTTGTCCACAAGCTGTGAAGCTACGTGAGGGCGATGCTCTGCACAATGTAATAAGCCCTGCCGTGTCTGTGAACAAATGTGCTCTATTGCAGTTTTTAATGACTTTTCTTGCCATTTTTACAGTGAGCATAAGGGCTTGGCCATGGTGTATCTTGGGAAAATGGCAACTCATCGTGCATATGCAGAAGTGACATGACTGGCATTTAAGAGATAACTATAAGGAATTAACTAATATTTCAAATTGAGTTTATAGAAAGGAAGCTTCCTGTTACATTTAGCACCACTCTGAAATTTATTCTAAAACTTCAGTGTCTCTAATCTCATCAAGGCTTATAAAAACTTCATATACAAATACAATTTTGGATTAACCTATCTTCTCAGTTCAGGCACTTTGATTTTCGTAGAGGAGGATCACTTTTTTGTCTTGTATTTGTGAAGAAATTTTTGCTTGGTGAGAGGGTAAACAGATGGGGATGATGGTATATTATAGTCACCTTGCCCTCGCTTAGAAAAGATGTAAGCAAATAACTGAGGACAAACTGAGTTGTCTGTTGTGTGCAATCTGTAGCAGTTCAGTAGTTTCTCATGCCACTAGTGTGATAGCACAATACTGTGATGATATTACTCATAAATATAAAGAGGAGTTATGTTCAAAGCCACAATCCTGACATTAATTTCAGTGCAAGTCTTATTGGTCCATATATGAATGTAGTTTGTTATTTCATCTCTTAAAATCTGTCAGGCACTGTTGTCTCTCTTCAATAAACATTTTTAGATCAGTTCTATTAAATGTTTTAGTGTGCTTTTATGTGACTGCTTTTGAATCAAGGCATTCCTGTCCTAAACGGAGAATGAAAAGCAGCCTAGCAGTGCAACCTCTTCACTTGCTATTCAGATTTTCTCTCTAAATTTACATCAGTATAATAAGAATATAAAATGCAGATTCTGAAATCCAGAATGGATATGACTGTAGTAAAAAAAATTACTCCTGAAGTGTGAATAGCTATTGTAAAAATAAAGAGTTGACAAAAGAAAACTACATTATATGAAAGATAGAGAAGCAGTTCAAAATATGATCAGATTATTAAAAGTATTTAATGCAACACTAAGCTTCATCAAATGAGAGCTTATATTGTCCACAAAACCTTTCATTGTATGGCTTGTGGCTCTGTTCCTCTTTCTGCTGTTTTCCATTTTTACTTGGTTTACTTTATCATACTCTAGTCACTCTCTTAGTCATCCATTTATATTCCTCTGCTCTTATCTCCACGCCCTTGCTTCTCAGTCCTCCTGGCTGAGCCATGCCTCCGCTTTTGGGAACTTCTCTGCTTTTCAGAGAGCCTGTGTATCCTCCCAGGTTCCCTGATATTGGAAACACAGCTCTCCCAACCGTTAAGGACTTCAACTGTTTATGACCTGCTGTCGTCAGCTCGAACTCAAAAGATGACCTGGGAGAAGTTGACTTGAGAAGGGAGTGAGGAGCCAGAAGAGTGGTGGACACGGCCGTGTTCAGAAAGGCACACATTACTGGCCTAGACTTTTAAACATGCAAGTAATTTCATTTGTATAATTGCTCTATTGATTTCTATGTGTTTGCTGATCAAAAAAGAAGAATTACTTTCCTGAACATAAGATAGAAAAATGAGCTCTTAGCATCTATTTCACAGAGTGATCAGATGCACCTTCTAGTTAGGAGGATCTTAAACCACTGACTGCTGAAAGCCAGGAGCATGTATCCAGAGGAGGGTCATTCTGTTTCTTCACTTTTCTGAAGTGTCTCTTACTAACTGTGGGTGAGAGCAAGGCACTAGTGTTGCATGGGCTGTGGGTCTGAGCTGGTGTAGCCATTCCTAGGTTAATCTCTTAAAGAAGTGGACAACTGGCCAGATCCTCAGTTAGTAAAATTCTATATATTTACAGTAAAGAAATTAAAGCACTTTACATAAATTGAGTTTCTATCCTAGTGTCTTGGATTTCTTTGAAAGTAGCAACTATGTATAGGGACTTACAGAATTTAATTCTAGTCTTTAGGAATGACTTCCATAAAAGAGTATCATCTTCTCAGTCCGTAGCTTTGAAAACTGCTCATCAGCAAGGAAAGTAAATTATCAAAACTATATTAATTAACATATCCCATGTATGCTTTTGGCTATCAGAGTTCATCTGTCTAAATCGGTAATTACATATTGTTATCCATTTACAGATTAAAAGGTTATCCCTGCTTTGGGCTTTTCAGGTTGTTTTATTGGAGCATAGATTTGATTTTGCTGTTAAATTTTAGAGGCTGAAGTAATGTCTATTTTTCTTTCCCCCTGAGAAACATTGAAATATTTCTTGCTTGCAGTTTCAACTCCCTCTTGCACTTTGTACTAAGGACTTGGTGAATCTATTTTGAACAATTCTGTATGGGGCCTAGATGCTGGATGTGCTCCTGTTATTTCATTTATCTTGTTCTCTGAAGTAATTGAATGTCCTCTTGCTTGTATACTTAGTGAAGTATGGCTGCTATTACCCTTAGTAACACTGGAGTTTCCTTATTCATTAGCATGACTTTATGTACAAGGTGTCAATTATTTTTTGCACTGAATGGATGAAATGGTCATCAGTCAGTCACTGTGTAAGTCAAGTTTGTATCCTAATGCATATTCAAAAGTGCTCAAATAAAGACATTTCACGTTCCCCAACTTTCAAGTGCCTGATTTAACAACTTAAAATATTTTATATTCGTTTACTTTTCTAGATCTTTCTGGATAAAACCCCCAGTCTTTATTTTTAATAAACTTTGCATCAGGAGCACACTTATTAGCTACAACACACCTCTGTCATTCATACTTAAGAATTACATTTATCCAACAGGAGGAGAGGCATTTATTCTAGTTAGACCAGCCACAGGGAGAAGATGGGTAATAATTGGGAATGGTGGGTAGGGCCTTCAGCAGTAGCTGCGCACAGATACTTAGGTGACTTTGGGAGACCATGTACCTACATGGCATAGTTTATGTTTATCCTTATTTATTTCTATTGCAGTAGCACATATGTCGAAAGGTCCTGAATACATTTGTTTCTCGCAATCTGCATAACACTGTCTAAAAGAAAAGCACTCACAGAGAAGTGTAGTGTCTTGTCTGAGGTTACAAAACAAGTGTCTTCTCTGAGACCACGCCAGACAAGGTTGTGCAGCTCTGCTCTGTCGTATGGCTTGGGAAGCACGCAGGATTCATAGGACCCACCGATGTGAGGCTGGAAGGGAGATGCTCTGCTTCCCAGAGCCACAAATCAACTAGTAAATAGATAAACAGATAAAGAAATAAAAGATGCGGCAGAAGCGTTTGATGATTGTTAATTTTTTTGTCCCTTTTTTCCCCCCCATCCCTGAGGTAGCAGTTTGACTACTATAGTGATGTGCTGGAACAGGCCTGCTCAATAAACAAGAATTTAATTAGAAAAAGTCTCTTGGGAATACAGCATTTAGGACTGAAATGATTCACTTGTCTTGGTGAGATAACATCATCATACATCTCAATAGGACTGATTTAAGTCCCATTTTTATTTATTGTTGGCTATTTTTACTTTTGTCCTTATTTCATATTTTGTAAAGCTGTTCTAGATCTTTGCAGCTCCAAGTGTTTAAAGTAAACTAAATTTATTTTTAGCTATATCAGACAGCACTCCCCTTCCCTTCCTCACCCACCTCAATACTGTCAGGATGCTTAAGGTATTCATCTAGGAAGTGGAAGACCATTATTCAATTCTTACTGTGCGTAGATGTAGTGGCTTAACTTAATTTGTCTTTTCCACATCACTGGTCAGTGCTCAAGAAAGAAGACTATTAGCTGTTTTCCCCACTCTCACTGAAATACCACTCTGAAGTTAAGTGTTTTCAGGAACTGAATATTGTTCCAAGTGAAATATGTATGTTATCAAATTGTTCCTAACCAATATTAATTCTAAAGCAATGTATGCAAAATAGAAATAAAATATTGAAGAGTGCTAGCAGGCTGACAAGAGTGGCCTGTGCTCTCTGATACATGGACAAGAAATGCCAGTGTTCAGTGGTCTTCTCCAAATAAAAATGGATTTTTTCCAGGGCAAGGCAAAAAGTGCCTCTGCGATTTATGTGCCTGCTAAAGTTTGAAGTCTACAGAAAATTGTGAAGAGAGCATCGCAAAGGAAATGGCAAACATTTTATAGTGGAAATTAATACATAATATAATTATAAGGGTTACTGGTTCTTCCCTGTTCAATGTATCTCAGAGTCTGCAGAAAGCTGGCACCCAGTATAGCCAATACTTCTCCTTGTGGAATTATCCACTTAAATTAATTTAGTTAATTCTCATGGTTAAAGTTAGTTGCATGTTTGCAATCACACACTCTCAGTCCTGCTTCAGTTTCCTCAACTTCACAGTGTACCTTTTTTCTTAGTTCCCTCTAGGCTTTTCTTTCATTAGAACTCCTCTCCTGAACATGATGACTGACTGATACCTCAGAGTCCTCTGTCCCTTTTTATCTTCTCAAGCAGCTTTGCTGGTAATTTGGCAGGTCTAATTCACACTCTTATATCTCTTGGACAGAATACATCAAGAAATCCCTGTTTGTCACCTATTCATGTCATGGGAACTTAGGATGTTTCCATCATCATTTGGCTTGCCCTCTCCTCCTTTTGTAGAATTATCCTATCTATAAATACTCCATGTTAGGTGGTGTTTCTGCTGTGTATCACATTGCATCACCACCTGTAAAAGTGTGGGGATGGCCTGGACACCCACTTGAGGCACTGCAGTGGGGCAGGTATAATGACCTCTTACACTTATGTTACAGGACATGGTCTAGAAAGAAGATGACACTGTGGAGTATAGAGTAGAGCTTCACTGATTCACAGAATTTAAGGCTAAAAGTGCTACTGTGAATATCTGAACTTGCCTCCTGAATGTTACTGGTGAGGGACCAATGATCCTCAACCCATGCTTCTCTTAAGACTGCCTGTTTTTGCTCATGGAAGCTTGAAATTAAGAAGTCTACAACTGTGGCTGACAGCAAAAGAAGGTGTTTTCCAGACCTGGTTACCAGTGATTGCTGCCCATTGGTCAGCAAAGAGTGGGAGCTTCCTCCCCTAAAATTTCAACCAAGAATTCCTGCCTCAAATCATCAATGTCTTAAAAGAAAAAAGAAGTTATTGTTTTACAGAGAGAATAGGAACAGAAGTAGAGATGAAATGGGGAAAAATAGAGAAAGGAAATAAAATACATGATTTGCTTTGTCAAACAAAAGAAATTAAACAGGACAATAGCAATGAAGTGGTTATACAGAGAAGACAATACTGTTATGAGCAGAATAGTTAGATGAATTTCCATTTCTAAGCTTACCACATAGCCAGTGCTGATTAGGCAGGTTTAATAACTTGCCAGTCGACACTTTTTTGTCACCTGTTCTACATGTCCCTCTTCTTTCCCAAGTTATCTTCTTTACATAAGTTATCATTACAGGCAGTGCAACAAGTACAGCTGCGTTCTGCTTATCTTTTCTATACCTTAACACACATTAAATAGTGCCAGAGGACAGCTCATGAATATAACATTTCCCACTGCTTTTAGCTTATCCTTGTACTGCAGCCTAAGGAAAGAGAGAAGAGAGGAGTTTTACAGCACACTTTGAAAGTTAACAAACCTGAGCTTTCAGAAACCCTGGGGGTAAGTGAATCCCAAACTGAGCCCCCATCACAAAAAAACCCTTCTCATTTATACCATAAGACCACAATTGAGCATCCCTGCAGATCTTGGCTGCAGTAAGATTTCACAGGGACAGAAGTAATTTCTCAGGTAATATGGTCCCAAATCACATAAGGCATTGTAGGTCGCAGCCAGCATTTGACTCCTACCTAGAAACCTGTTGTATTTTCATTATGATATAGAAGAGATTCAGGTGCTTCCTTTCACTTCATTAGATGTTTTGAATTTAGGGCACAGGACTCTTGCTATAAACTCTTAAATGTACCTATTTGCTTGTGACAGGAGGTGATCATGTTTCTTAGGCTGGGACAGAAACAGGGTATTGCGATGGCATAAAATGTTGCCAAGTGTTCATCAGCCTTTTCCTTCTGGGCTGCCATTTCAAGCGATGATTTGTAGTCCCACTTCTCCCTTCCCTCTTCTGCCTTTCCTATGTTGTCCTGTTGCTTTGGCTGTGGATCCCAGAGCGGGGACAGATGTTGAGCCTCTCCTGCTATAGGGCTGTTTGGTCAGACCAGGAGGTCTCAGTTTAAGGCAATACCCTCAGTTCAGTGACCAAGACATTGAATACTGTGTTTTCTGCTGAATTTGAAGCCTCAAGTGTAGCATATTTTGGACCCAACCTAAGGCTCTCCGAGGTCAGCAGACAGTCTTCCACTGGTTAGGATGATATTTGGATGTGGCCCAGACCCATCAGCTAGAATGGATGTAGTTATGTTTTAATAAGCAGATAATTACAGGTTAAGTATTCACAATTAAATGAAAGCTAAATAAGCTAGATCATTCTCTGGGGTCATTCTGTTGTTTTCAATGGAGTTATACCAATAACTGATTTGACCCAATATTTTGTTTATAGGAGGGCTTATGAAATGCTAATTATATTGGTCAAATTAATGAAAATCAAACAGTCCTCAGCTTTGTTTATAAGGTTAAGCAATGTAATTATGAATGCTGGAACCAACAACTAGGCTTAATGTGGTATACTGAGCTCTAGCTAAAAATGTGTAAGTGAAACACTTTGTTGGGAGTACATACTGTACGGAAACTGGAACATATTTTTGGACAGCATCCCTGGCTTTGCAAATTAGATGCTAAGATTCAGCAAAGATGAGTCTTGAAGGTAAGGAACACTTAAGCAGAAGAAAATTGTAATATGGATGTTAGTCATCACATTCCTCTGTGAATGAAGGTTCAGCTGAAATAATTGAATATTAACAAATATATTTAAATCATCTCTAATTCAGTATATTGAAGCAATCTACTGGTTGCTTAATTTATTATACAAATGACACTAATCTGATTAAAATTGCCCATACTAAATGTGGAGCTGTAACTGTGATTGGTTTTCTTTGTATTGCCCAGTTGAGCCAAAGCCAGATTCTGAGACTGTGTCCTAATACAAACCTGCAGAAGAGGAGATACCACACAGAAACAGAATTTAACAACATCTTTCATAACCAAACCACATTATCTATGTTCCTATCTCATTTAAAGCTGTTTTGTCAAGACTCAGTGGAGAGCATGGTATATAACGCCCTATATGTACTAACATTACATGGTAATTTAACAAAATGTTTTAAAATAAATCACTATATGCATTTCAAAGTAATTCTCTTAGTAGGGCAAAGCATATTTTTCAAACTGTCAGTGCCTGATTGCAGGTTTACATTTAGATTCTTTTGAAGTTATTAAAAAATACTGAGAAGTCACTAATAGTTAGCTACATGAAGATCTATATAGGAAATCTGAAGTGGAATGCCAAAAATTAAAATACTTACTCTCTTTTGTGTTCTTCTGTGCTTATGAAAATGCGAACAATAGCATTTACCAGAAGCAGAGGTGCTGCACTGGCTTTTGCCATCCAGCTGAATAATTGTGTTTTATGCTGATGTATGGCTCTGCTCTAAAAATCCCTAACACACTCACCAGAATTGCTAGCAAAGATGAATTGTGTGACT